TGTACTGATGCCTGATATTAGATTCTAAGGAAATAGGAAGCAAGTGATGAATTATAATTATTTCATTCTTGCGAGGGAAGGGAAAAATGTGCAACGTGAAACTGACTTATGTACTCAAAATTACTGACGACACTAGGAGGCAGCTGCAGTAATGGCTGTAAAAAATGCATCAAATATAATAACATCAGAATATGCGGTTTTAATGCATTCTTTGTTGCACAAAACAAATGAAAGAAAAAAGGTTATTTACATCGTTTATGCACGAAAAAGTAGCTGTTCTGGAAGAAATATTCTAATGCACACAACAAAACAAATAATATAGACTCTTACATTGAGAAAGATTCTATATACTTTCGCTCACTAGTTGTCTGTACCGAGAGGTTGGTTAGGTATTCAACTTTAGAAAATAAGCAACAATATATAGCTGACGATAGGAAAAGCATGATGTCACTTTTAGGTAATCGCTATTGAGAGAACTAAAATGAAGAACTTAGGCATTAGAAATGAGATGCGACAGAAGGCCATTTTAAGCATCTCCAACGTAGACCGCATCACAACTGACGGATTGCGAGCTATCATCACAAAGAAGCCCATCGAAGACACCATATCCACCATCAAGAAGAGGATTTAAAATGGTATGACCACGTCAAAAGAGCCAACAATCCTGCAACTCTACAATACAGGATCTTCGGTAAAGAAAGACATGAAAAAAAAATGGCTGACAAAGTCACTGAGTGGACTACAAGATCCTTCAAAGCGTCATTGTCGTGCAACTGGAGAAAGCTGGTGAGATGCTCACATGAACAACATCCGCTTATAAGACTGATTAAGATAATGGTTATCTTGAGCAGTGGCGTAGCTAGAGTAAACGTCACCCGGGGCGGTCCGCTCAAATGTCACCCCAATGACCCCGATTCACCCTATGCTGAATGGTTAGCTGTAGCTAAATTTTCATACATGCTCTACCTCTACTTTACTCTACTGACCGGTACGTTACTGTTTACATATATGATCCAAGACAAAATCCAATACCACAAAATAATCAGTTCAAATCAAAAGATTTTTAAAATGCAACTGTTCACTTTCAGAACAACTAAATACAAAATACGGCAATACACAAAAGAATGATATTCGATTATTGGGCTCATCTATTAGCCCAATCTTACCTTCTTCGAGTAATGCACTATTCCAACTTTCATTCGTAAATCTAGCCCTCTGATTGGTTCATTTATACCAATCAGGTCGCCCGCACGTGCACTTCGAAGTTTTGGCGCAAAATCTCTTTGGATCCACCCACGCGATCATGCCCTCTTAAAAAGAACCCAGAGCACGTGTGATCAGAGAGAGACGCAGAAGCAGAAGCAGACCTGGGCAGATCAGCAGCAGACCATTTTTCGACCGCTTACTCAAACTTAAAAATGTGACGATTACTAATTACCGTCTCGCTAATCGAGACGACAAATCTTTCCCGTTCAATATCTTCTACGAACTTCTTCGTCATTCAAGAATCTCAAACTATACATTCTTTTTGATCATCTACGATAAATCAGTCAGTCGAACGAGCACAGTGATATGCTAATATAATCCACGTCGCTTAAAACTGCAATCTTGACGCGCAATCTTGCCGCGCAAACTAAATCATTACTGATTCACTCGCAAGCCCAAATCGAAGAAAACTCTGTGAACACTGAAACTTCTATCCGAACAACTTTACTTATCTAAAGTGAATTAACACTCACTACTATTCTAAGTAAATAACATCATCGAACGAACTCAACATTTGCAGTCAAAGGTAGACTACTTCGTAATGACTCATTTCTAAAAACATAATACCTACATTCTAAATACTAATTACAATTTCCTAAAAAGACTGTAACATAGATACACAAGACATATTCTGTACAGATTATCTTATTTGTATATAAATGCATTTATCGATTTTGAATTGCATGTATGTTTTGTCTTGTTTACATTGAAATTGTTTATTTGTTTGTGGATGCAGAAAAGTTCACGCAACCTGACATAAAAATTCCTTCTGATTTAACTCGTGCTACAGTAAATTCCTTAGTTTATTTTGCACATCCCCAACACGATACTATGGTCTTAGAATGAATGTTTTCTTGTTTTCATTGTAGCAAACTGCTCAATGACATCGTCGAAATCAATTTGTCTTGTAAGCTCGTTTTCAATGGACAGCACAGCCAGATCCGACAGTCTAGGCTGGCTCATGGTTGACGTAATTTTCTGTTGCTAGTTTTCCGGTGTCCAATTTTCCGTTGCATCATTTTCTGGGTACCATCAATGATGTTTGAAAGTATTTTTCTTGACAAAAATGTTCTATTTAATTTTTAAGCATTTTTCGGAACATTGTAAATCAACTGCATTCTTTTAAAGGTTACCTAGAGAATTTATGCAAAGTTTATTTTTTTGTTTTTCTTTATACATTCTTATAGTATTCTTATCTATTAGAATTGTATTTTTTTTTCATACTTTTTTTAGTTTAAAACTAAAATCATAATAACATCAAAATACGATGTAAATTTATTTTAATTTACATCGTATTTTGATGTTATTATGATTTTAGTTTTAGTTTTAGTGATAATTTAAAAACAATAAATATTTATCATTAGTACCAATAATGGAAAATTAAGTTAAAAATTTAAAAGAATCGTTTTTGGAATCGGAAAATAGGCACAAATTTTTCCGATTCCGATACCGTTTCCGATACCACAAAAAGTTCCGATTTTTCCGATTCTCGATTCCGATTCCGATTAATCGTCCCAACACTAGTAGATATATTCAAAAGTATATCGCTCACTCAATGGAAAATTGTATCTCAGCGAATTGATACACAGGCAAGACTGAAATTGTTGCACTTTTGGCTTCGTATTTCGCTTTGTTGTTATTAATGATGCAGCGTTAAAACACCATATCATCCGATAAAAAGTTACAACAATGTCTCAATTGTTAGTAACCAAGATTGTAGCAACTGAAACACATGAAAGCTGAAAGCATTGCTATTTTTCCTACTCACAAATTTCTCGACAATGTATTAGAACATTTCTGACGTGGGGACATAACTGGGGAGGAGGGTCATAAATTATTTCTGGGGGGTCATATGCTCGCCTGCAAAACCCTGTGTCTCCACCACTGTTTTCAGCCTACTTTTGGCACCTTAGCCTGGTTGAAAAAATTTGTTGGGTGTGACATTGCGTCACCCCTCCTGTGCTGGCATCCGGGGCGGTCCACCCCCTTAGCTACGCCACTGATCTTGAGACAATATGCTTGTGGGGATTGAAATCGCTTGAATTCAAAGCACAAACAAAAGAATTACGGAGATTCTAGGAATGAAGCCTTATTCTTTTGGCTTACTCCAGTCAGGATATTGATCTTGACAACAAATGCAACAACAGCTGTTATTGCATAATTATGGGAAATCGGGAAATAATTATGAGAAATGTGTTGAGTGTTTCAGTTTCTAGCCGAAGCATGTGGGCAAAAATACCAAGTAGCTCAAGAGAGTTGAAGAATTCACTCATGTTCTGAAGAGCCTCAGAAATGTTTGGAACAATATCAATTGAATTGTCCGGTTGAAATTCCCCAGGAATCTGTAGCAACCCCTTTGGAGATTATTTCTTTTTCTGAATCATTCTTTAAGGAAAATAATTCTTTAAAATCTTGTTCCCTGGACCAGTGACAGTTTCTCTAGTTTGAGATCATTTTATATTTAAAATATTATATTGGATAACGCTTATTTGGTGGAGAGGATCTGAGAGGATGCTTCCCTGATCACTACAATCTTATCATAGGGTCAACCGTTATCTATGCTTCTAATCCAAACAAAGTCAATCAGAAACGCTCTAACTTGAGTAGCTCTTTTGCCTTGTATTAAAAACTATATTCATCCAAAATTAATCCCTAGTGACCGCCAATTATCTTAGAGGATTTTATCGCCTTTAGAGGATTGTATCACCTATCTTCAACGTAATAATTGACCTCCATGAATGAAATGCTTTGTCTTCAAAACAGGGCATAAAACCCACAAATTAACTCTACTTCCTGTGACCTTAGGGTGTTAATTTTGACTTTAGTAGCTCTACCATTTTGGAGGTCAAGAATCATTTAGTTCCTCCAATTAAACTGAATATCTCAACCCATTTGGCCGGGAATTCATTCTTTGAACACAAAATAATATGTTGCGCTCTTTCATGACGTGTGGTCAAGCTAGAACGACTCTTGAGATCAACTACGCGTATAGAATGTCACAACTGGACTTATTATGTATTTTTCTTCATGTCAGAATTTGGATTAATAGTCCGTGTCGTTTGTGCATGATCATGGGACACAAACAGAAGAACATCAGGATGAATTGCGATGAATTAGTTTCGCATAATTGGGCTGCAACAAAACTTCATATCATTTTTCAGTAGGTGGCAATTGAACGTGTCATTTCCTTTCACGCGTGACTAAAATTTATGACACACACACACACACACACACACACACACACACACACACACACACACACACACACACACACACACACACACACACATATATATATATATATATATATATATATATATATATATATATATATATGATATATGAAAATAAAATGAAAACTTATCTTGTCCGACGCGTTTCGTTCTCTGAGAGGCTTTGTCAAGGCAAATGAAATTTTTTATATTGTCCTTTTACACACACACACACACACACACACACACACACACACACACACACACACACACACATATATATATATATATATATATATATATAGTTTTCAATCATCACCTTACGATTGCGTTGTGCATGAAGCTCACAATTGTGTTACCGGTGAGGAAAAAATTTATATTTATTATTGATATTGTTGTGGTGTCCTCCCTCTAAAGGTATATGTTGGACTCTTCCGCCTACTACAAGGTTAGTAAGAGAGAAGGCTTTGGAGGAACAACCGAATAGATTGAACGCTGGATCATCCAACACACACTCACTAGTCCTGTAATACTCTTCTGTTGTACTTACTGTTTAATATATGATATATCTGCAACACTTATCTATCTATCTATCTATCTATCTATCTATCTATCTATCTATCTAGGGCATTACATATTACGAGTTCCTCCTGAAAAATCCGATGTTGTATTCGAACAAGTACTGTACTCATTTGGACCGATTAAAGGCAGCAATCGATGAAAAGCGTTCGAAATTAGACAATCTCTGTAGTCTTCTATAAAGACAATCGCTGTAGTCTTCTATAAAGACAACGCCAGGCCCCACGTCTCTTTGCAGACCCGGTAGAAATTGATACAGCATATCTGAGATGTCCTACTAGACCCGCCGTACTCAACTGACTTCGCATTATCGTCGGCTTATCACTTATTTCGATACCTATAAATTCTCTTTATGGCAAAAAATCCACTTTTGTCGGAAGCCGGTAAAAACCACTTAAGTTAGTTCCTCACCCAGGGAAATTGCAATCATGAAGTTGCCTCAAAGATGGCAAAAGGTGATGGAACAGGATTCTATATATGTGACTGAATCAATCTATGTACAAATATTTGAAATTCACTTAAAAACGCTATGAACTTCAGGCCCAAATAGATACAGTTGTAATTATATAAAAGATATGAAGATATAAATTAATTGGTCTTAAATACATTTCCTTGATCTTTTAATATTCTATGATGTCTTGAACGAGCCTCACCTATTTTGACAAACTTTCAATTTTCTGCAGTTGAAGTTATTCGATAATTCGAGTCTTATTTTTAGTTTTTCTTTAGTTATGATTTGGTTTGTGGGGTATCTTCTATTAGAATTGTATTTTTTCTTTAATATTTTCTTATCTGAGATGTTTTCTACTTATCCGGCCAAACCCGTTCGTATACTGATGGAAAGAAAAAAAAATGAAGAAAGAAGATAAGAACTGCCTTCGACAGAACGAATTTCCAATAAAATGAGTGAAACTCCAAGAGAGACGAGAAGAAAGTAAAATATTAATCAAATGCGAACTAGAAGGAGTCGACAGATATTGTACAATTAACATAATCAAAGGATCAGAAGAACTGACATATAGAAGAACCTGAATGACATTGCACCAGACATATTTGACAAAATAAAGAGTGAAAACTCATTATGAAATATAAGCATGATAAATTCTATAAACTGTACAGTAAATTTATTTTTATGGCCCTGTTCACCCAATGCAAAACCCAAGTGCCACTCAAGTTGGTTACTGGATTCGATTGGTTTTATGGACGTAAGAATCGTAGATTATATGTAGGATAGATAATGGTTAATCCAAGATTGGAAGAGGTTAAGATTGTAGTGGTTGCCGAGGGATCTTCTTCGATGTCTATTTCACAAAGTAACAATTCCTGGGAAGAAGCTCTCTCAGTGGAACTTCTACCTTACTAATGAAATACGAAAAGGATGAGGAGGGTTCGTTTCCTGGGTACATGTCATGGTGAGTCTTAGCTGTGCCTGAACTAGTGGGACTAAAGAATGCAGAACCTGAAAGAACAGCGATAGAGTAGCAAGACGCTTACGAAATTTCATCTGTGTGGTTAAGGTGTTGTAGGTTAGAAACTAATTACATCGCCCACAAAGTCACGTAGATGCTTTTGAACTCTGTCGTTTGGAAAGAGAGGTTTGGTTCGCTCTAACCGAGATACGGTAACAATTCTTTATTATTTTACAGTCGTAATATTCTTCAGGATACATGTGCTGACAACAGCGTTATGGCGAAGTAAAGATAAAATTATCAGAAACTATTTAGATATGTTATTAGAAAAGTCTGGATGACAGTTTCTGGTGTCTGCTTTATCGGCAAAGCTGTCGTGTACCAACCATTGTTCTAATTTTTGGAATCTGGATAAAAAAAAAAAAACAGCTCTGAAATTCGGAATTTAGTACGTTTTCGAAAATTGACGCAACACACTCTTTCTATCATGCACACCTTAATCTTACTTATTATAAAACGCAGATTGTGTGTGTGTGTGTGTGTGTGTGTGTGTGTGTACGTTTATATATTGGATCGGATTTCCTACATTTTTCAACCGATTTCAACAAAACTTCACAGGACTACGTAAAATTACCTTGTGGTGGTTCTAACAGCGCCAAAATTGGAAAAACACAATTGTTTTTTCACGAAATCAATTTGAAAACACGATTAAGAGGCATCACGCGAATGAAAGGGGGACAACTCATATCGAGTTATACTTATTATAAAACCCAGGTTGTTTGTGTGTGTGTGTGTGTGTTCGTTTATATATGGGATCGGATTTCCTACAAATTTTCAACCGATTTCAACAAAACTTCACTTTTTTTGGCAGGTAGTGTTTCTTATTGTCTTGCACACTTTTTTCTTTATTTTTACTTTCAGAATGCTTTAAAAATTCCATTTACAAGACAATTGTTTATAATAAAATTCTATTCAATCGGTAGACTCATAACGATTGAAAACAATGTTTTTGTTTAGTTTGGGTTTGACCAATTCGAAAAAAAAGAAAAAGAAAAGAAAATCTAATCAAGACATGCGTGTCTCAACCTTAAACAATAATTTTTGTCAATTTTATTTTTCAGTCTTTATGATGGTCGATACTTGATCTATCTCTTACTGTTACATCCCCGGGCAACGCCGGGCTCTACTGCTAGTCTAAAATAAAATTAGTACCAAATTAGATGGCGTGTAAACAAAACACAGGTATATCAGAACCTTCTCAATTTCATTGAATATTAAGACAAAATCTTTTATTATATTAGTATATTTTAAACTTACTATATACGACTCTATAATGCATTTTATGCACCTCTACTAATGTAACAGCTAGCGATTCTGAAAAAGAAATTAGCGAGCAGAAGAAGAAGAAGAAGAAGAAGAAGAAGAAGTGTTTTGTTTTTGTTTAGGGGTTCACTATTTGCCCATAGTTGGGACCCTAACAGGTGCTACTACCCGTCAGGGGGATCGGGGAACAACAGCAGTTAAGTGGTAGTTCCACGCTCCTCAAAACCTTCAATCTCCCAATCAGGTCTTACTGCCGGATGTAGTTTATCGTCATGCCCAGGACTCCCTGAAGAGGCGCATACTACAGAGCCACTGAAAAGAACACAGTGTTTAGCTAACTGTGGCGCAGATTTCTGTATTCTATGATTTCCACTAAGGTTGATAAATAAATAAATAAGCAGGTAGATAATTGTTTTCATTTTGATAGATGTTCAAGATGTACTTGTTTTGTGCCACTTAGAAATTGTTTAACTATATTTAGCTGTATTTTAAAGAAAAAAAGGGGATCATATGTCATCATGAAAGATAATTGTTTGTGTGCTTTAGTATATTATTTTTCGTGCAGTTTATCTTATTTTCACCCTTTCCTGTCGTCGCAAGGCTGATGTAAGAATAGAAAGTACATTTTTAAATTCAGATTTTGTTAAGACTGACATTGAATAGTAATTGCAACGGTTTGTCGCACAATTATAATCCATTTTCCATCTCACAAATTTGAACCCGACAGTTTTATTTTTCAGATAGTTGGGTATTTAGCTCCGCTCTTCAGTCTTTCATAATTACTTAGTATAAATCCCAGGCAAGCATCCAGTTTTGAGGCCAATCCAATCTGAAGTAAATAGAAAAAGCTAGAAGAGAAGGAGAATGGTGACAAAACAAGGCGCAAAGCTAATTTCACATGTGAGACATTTGATCTGTTGTCTACATTATATTCAAATGTTACCTTGATCTTTCCGAGATAAAGTAAAATTGTCGAAAAAAGGGAATGAGGAAAATAAATAATGGCGGAAAACCAACGAATGATTATACAGACAAATGTTGTTTATTAAAAAGCAATAAATAATATCGCATTGCAATAGACCAGATTCAAATATGTGTTTCTTTGTACAAATAAATAAAAAAGATGTTTAAAAATTGGTTCACATGGCAAGTCGTTAAATTGCTCCGAGAATAGGAGAATAAGAATTCGCAGTAGTGGGGCTTACAAAGAAATATGAACACGCAAAAGGAATATTACTGATATTTCAACAAAAATACAGGCTTGACTTAAATGCGAAGCAGTCGCTTAACCATAATTTATTTTTGCTTCATTCTTTTAGACAAATATATCCAATGTTGTCGTAACATAAAATTACACTTTTTCTAATATGGACCTGAATTTTTTTATTAGACACTGAAAGATCAAATCCTAAAATCGATTTCCGACAAAAGATTTCTGCTCAGATGTGAGATTCAAGAGCTATTTAATTGTTGAGGCAGGAATAGTCAGTGTCAATCCAAGTTGTTCGCATGTGAGAGTCTTCTGTAAAGACAAGACTTAATAAACATGTAACAAAGGGTGATAATTCAAATTCTTTAACATTTTACACTCGAACTATCGTCTACAGAGGATTGATAAGTTTATAACAATGTTAAATTTAATATTTACTTTATTGTTTCTGAGTTAATATGAGAAAATGTTGACACCGGTGGTAAAATCTGAAAGAAATAATGACTTATTCGATTCAGGCTGAGATTATTAATAGAAAAAAGAATTGGTTTTACATCAGAAATAATTTTTCAACACGATCTCATTCTTTGCGAATGCACTTAATTCAGTTGTGATACTGAGGTTGTGAGGTTGTTAAACATTAATTCTAAGCAGAAAAGTGGTTAAGCCTAAAATGAAATATAAACTGGAAGATAGAGAGATAGAAAGAGAGAATGGAAGACATTTTCCCTGGTAATCAAGTGAAGAAACCCCTACGAACTGGAATGATGCAACAAGAGTACTTTTTTATCTATCGGGTAAAGCAAATTGGGAAATGGCTTTATCTCCTTTTTGGTAAATTAGAAAACCATGTCATTGACAAGTAGACTGGGAGTTATATTTTCGTTAGTAAAAACGAATTGAGAAATGAAAACAGAAAATGAACCCGCTGCGAATATTAGAATTATGAAAATCAATCCGTCATAACAGGCAGGTGATCTGGTTTATGTTTTCACTAAGACGGCGACCGGCCCAAGGATGTAAAACAGTGTGTCTCTCTGTTGAGAATTTCGGTAAACAAATACATTTTCATTGACGGAAATAAATTGGGAAATAATTTTTATCTATCGTTTGGAAGTCAGAGTATTGAAATTAATGTCCCCATTAAACCACGTCCTTTCTCCTACGCACTGTAAAAATTAGATTTGTCACAAAGACAGTTATGAAATCCCTGAGAAATGGACAGAGTTAGAATACCGAGAAAGAAGGAGGAAGGGGAAGAATTTAGTATCGCCTGTGCGAAGTAGCGGTGCGAGATGTGAAGTGAAGCAGTTTGGAGTTAAGGGAAGAGCTATCCCTGTGACTACTACCAAGGAAGGTGGATAATTCTCCAAAGAAAACAAAGAAAACCTCCATTGGAATTAATGAAATTTGGGGAAACACCGAATCCCCAGAACCTTTCGGCCTCATGCCAGTTTTGGGCCGAAGTGTATATAAGCAGATGACTTTGGGGAGCTCAGTAACTTTGGGCTCTGAAATCCACATTAGCTGCAACCCGATTTCCTGATTCCAAGAGTTTGAACCCAGCTTCTCCAGAAGTGGACAAGACCCAGAGTCACTATAGAGATTGAGGCGAAAGGGCTAATTTTTATTGTACCAAGAGCTATATAAACCAAATGAGGATTATTCCCATATTTTATATTAATATAGCAGGCGCCACGACTTGAACCAGCGTTGCGAGGCTACGATTTCCGATCTTCCACTGCTCTGATATCAAGAACACGGCATGGGCAGAGTTGGTGTGGATCGAAGTGGCCGCCAACGACCAACAACCAGCTTGGACCAGCGTTAGCATTGGCCACCGCAGAGTTAATCCGTATAGGATGCAGGTTCGAATCCTGTCAAAGGACGAATATTTTCTATGAAAATTTCTCGGACATTCAGGCCGGTAAATGTTATTTAATACTGTTTATTATAAACAGAGCATTTACTTAAATACTTCTATCTATAAAAAGAACGTTAAACATAAAAATTTCTTTAATATATATATATATATATATATATATATATATATATATATAGCATAATGAGAAGCCACGTATACTTTCTTAATATGTATATATAGAAAAAGTTGCAAATTAAAAAAATAATAATGTTTTATCAGCTATCCTCACCTCTACCAAATATCTAAACAATAGAAACCAATCAGGAAATTACAAATGTAACAAACTTCGATGCTTAGTTTGCAAACACTTAATAATAGATAATGTATTTTCTGTACCCAAAACCAATATCAAGATACACCCACCTCACCTCACCTGTGATAGCCATAACATAATCTACTATTTATTCTGCACCTTATGTCCTAATAGTGGATATATTGGTGAATCTGGAAATAATTTTAGATTTCGCTTCAACAATCATAAACAAACCATACGTCAAAACGATCCTTATTCCCCCATAGCTGAACACTTTAATCAATCAGGACACTCATTAGAAAACTGTAAATGTTTATTGATAGATTCTGATTTCAGTTCCACATACACACGCAGAAAAAAAGAAAATTACTGGATTTTAAAATTAAATACATATAAACCAGGTTTAAATAAAGACTTGGGTATTTTAAATCTTTATAAATATTTCAGTAGTTAAATATTTTTTTAGATATAGTTAAAAAAAAAAATATTTTTTTTATTTATTTATTTTTTAATTTCATTTTTTATTTTATTTTTCAATTTTTTAAACAACATCTAAAATATTATTACAGTTAGATTTACGTTAGGAATATTCGTTCCATATCACGTGACGTCCGCATCTCGCGACGGACGCTACTTGTAAACAGTTATTTCTGAAGAAAGATTGAGGCCAATCTGAAATATCAAATATATATACAAATAAATAAATAAATAAATACTTTCATAAAAAACATTATTATTTTTTTAATTTGCAACTTTTTTCTCTCTATATATATATATATATATATATATATATATATATATATATATATATATATATATATATATATATATATATATATATAGGTGGATCTTTGTTCATGGCCCGAACGGTCCAAAATAATTTTTAAGCTCTTTGACATAAGAGAAACATTTCGTTCACTAGAAATAATCGAATTAATTTGTCAGAAGTTTAAAATCTGGTTGCAACTTCAATCGGCAAAATTTTATGACTCTTTCCAAATTCGAATCATGACAGACTGTCAAACCGAAGGTTATAGCGTTCAGTCGAGAAAAATGACACGTCACAAGCGGAATTTTCCGCAACGAATCTTGTTTTTTAACTTCTTAAAAATTAATGATAACGATTATTTCTAATTAAAAAAAAAAAAAATAGTGCTGACGCGGATTTTTATTTAATTACTTTGTCTTCTTTTTCAAAATCAAGATATTCAAGCAGGATTTTTATCTTGAGTCGAAAAACAGCAAAAGTAAAAATAAAGGTAAAAAAAACAAAGGTTTAACAGAAACGATAAAAAAGACGTCAATATGAAAAAAAGACAGCAAA